CGCCTCTGCCAGCCAGCGCGCATATGTGCGGCCGCCGCGTGACGCGTCACGTTCGCTCGGACGTGACGTGTCGGGCCGTTGGTTGTCGATCTTCCCGTGACCGCGCACGACGAAATTCCGGAGACAGCTGACAGCAGGCGACTCACAATAGATAACACAGACGCAGCGGACGGCAGGCAACACACAATGGGTATCGCGTGTGTCGTCGCTGTTGGGGCAGGTTATTGTTCGTGATCTTTCAGATTTCCTCCTCATTTTAGACGCAGCGGACGTACGGCACCCAGCATACAATGGGCAACGCGTGTATTGCCGCTGTTCGAGCAGGTTATTGTTCGTGATCTTCCAGATTTCCTCCTCATTTTAGACGCAGCGGACGTACGGCACGCAGCATACAATGGGTAACGCGTGTATTGCCGCTGTTCGAGCAGGTTATTGTTCGTGATCTTCCAGATTTCCTCCTCATTTTAGACGCAGCGGACGCACGGCACGCAGCACACAGTGGGTAACGCATATGTTGCCGCAGTTGAGGCAGGCCTTCGCTCATGATCTTCCAAATTTTTCCTTACTTTAGCTGGGACAATGTCGCGATAAAAGCAAGAATTCGAATGGGCTGCTAATGTCGCTTAAATGCTTTAAATTTGTGTTTTGTCGTCTGCTATCAAGAATAGATTTTTTGCCCGCGTTGTCTGCAGACACACAAGGATTCATATCTCCCAAAGCGCTTATAAAATAGTGTCATAAGCGATCTTTGACAACCGTAAGGGTCTGTTTTGTTTCGTTACGGAGCTTTTATGCAAGATCGGGCGGATGAGAGCTTTTGGGAGAAATAAGCAATCAAGCTCCGGTTTCCAGTCGCAGAATAGCTGTCCAGACAATCTAACCAACCGACTGACATCTAGCTAGAGTCACTAAGGTCACACGGCTAATCTCGCATGGATCCGGCCGGTAATTACATTAATGGGCTTCGGGCGAGGAAATCTAGCATCCATAACAAACAGGTATCAGCCCGTAATAATCCGTGACAGTGGTAGTATGATGTATACGGAAGTAAATGCTGACTTCGCTGAAGGATGAGGTAACATGATATTCTGTGGTTCTTACTTGACCAACAAATTGGGTGAATTGAGCGCGTGGAGTTCGTCAGATGTCTCAGATAGGCTCATGCAAAGCAGCCGTAACGTATGCATCCTCTCTCACGTGATGTAATTTGCTTACAGCTGCGTGTGATAGCACACCTAGCAGAATGTTCGTTTCTTGCTCCGCCCCTGCGTTAGATCCAAAACTACAAGTGCTCTGCGCGCCTGTATTTTAGCAAAATCACGTGGCGTTGATTAGGCATCTGCTAATAATACTGAGAGGCATGAGCTAAGAGCTTTGCTGAATCCTCTACAGGCGATTACGGTAATATTCTCAAAGATCACTTGAACCATTAGTAATTGTTTGAGTGGAACTCTACGAAACCTGTCGTTAAGCTCTGACAATTCTCCATTACGGCAAGCCAGAGCGCTAGTTTTACGTTTCAACCAATGAATACGCCGTGATGCAGGAACCTCGGGCCGCGTGGTGGTGGCTGAAGAGCATCTTTGCTGCCACGCCTGCACTGGAGAAGCATGCGCTGAGCCCATTAACCGCTCGAAGGCACCTCCGCATTCCGTACTCCACCATTGACGGCACCTGAGGGTCGCCCGGACTGGCACGGCAGCCGACGGCGTCTGACGCTCGCCGCTATGGGCGGCTGCCATGCGGCGGCTACTGCGCACGTGTGCACCTGCAGATTTACGCTCCAGGTGCGCAGATGGTCAGAGCGTGCGCCGGAATGGCAGCCGGGGATTGGGGGGCGGGGAGTTGATGCTGCTCAATGGCTTTACGCACGCGAACCTTGAGTGTCTGGCTCGGAGATAGGAGTGGGTGTTGGGTGGGCTGACTTTTGACCGCACTCGCCGTCCCGTCCATCCATCACTTGACCCCGAATGTGGCGTAAATTACGCCAATGACGACATTAGGGCCAAGTGGCCACGCCGGGCCCATCTTAACGACCGACCGCCAGTCCCCGCTCGCGCGGCTCCTCCCGGTTGCCCCGTCCGCGACCCGCCTGTCTGCACCGGTCTGGAGACGGGCGTCGGCGGCGCGTGCTCGGCCGGGCGTCTGGGAGGTGAGCGGGCCGCGCCTCGGCTGGCCGGCGTGCAGGGCCGTCACGGCTGGCTGCGCGCCCGCCGCTCCGCCCGGATGGGACGTTGACCCGCTCCCGTCCGCCCCGCCCGCCGCCGGCCGGCTGGCCGCGCTGGAGGGCTGGTGACGACGGTGGTGGCCGGGCGGCGCCGCCGCTGCTGCTGGCGCTGACGAATGCAGGGGGTCAATGCCCCTCCCCTCCTCTGACACCGCCTGGGCGGCCCATGGCCCGAAAACGGAGAAAAGTAAAACTGGGAGGTCTCTAGGCCTGTCTTCGGACACAATGCGAGGGATTGCAAGTCATTTGCCCCAGACTCCGTGTGCGCCCCACGCTCAGACCGCTCGTGGGGTGGGGCGGAAGCTGGAGCCGGGCTGACCCCAGGGGCAGAGGGGGGGGGGGGGAGCGCTGCGACGTCAGAGGTGTACTCGAGGTGGCGAGGTCTGAGAATCCCCTTAGCATATGTGTGGACTCAGGCATGGGGCCAAACACCAAATAAGGGCGATCGAAGATCGACTAACTTGGTGATGTTAGCCGCAACACACACAAACGTAGCATTATGACACCCGAAGAAAAGACAAGATATGCGCTATTTAGGATCTGCGGCTGCTGCTACTGCCAAGAGTGGCTGTCACTTGAACCGCCGGTGGAGGCCTCTTCGTCGGGCCTGCCAACGACAGCCACGCGCGCGCCCCCGTTCGTGGATACTGAGTCCGCTTAGTCCGATAGGCACAGTGAACCAGGCTGACTCGGCCAGGGTCTCAAGACTGAGAAAGCGGGGGTAGAATAGGTTCTTGGATTGGTGTCTTTAGAACCTTGCATGCTACAGTCAGCAACGGATACTGACGACCGTTTTCACCCGACTCGGTGAGAAACGGGTGGGCGCGGTGAGACACGGTCGTGGTGTTTTGGCTTTCCGGTGCCGGCAGTCGGCACTGAATCGGCGGTGATGGCAGCACCGGAGACACCGCGCCGCTGCCGCCACTAAACTAAATGGTGCTAAGTGGTAAATGGTACCGAAGGTGCCGCCCCTGTACCGCCAGTTTACTAAATCGTGTAAATGGCGGTACCCGAGCGGTTCGTGAACGGACATAAGCCAGTACTCTGCTGGCACCAACGCGTGCCTCCTCACGCTGAATGCGCTGAGAGGCGGTGTCGACGTGCTTTTGGAACGCAGGACTCGGTATGTGGTTTCATGAACGTCTGGCTGGCCATCAGATGTGCCGCCTGTGAACAACAGTTGTTCCCAGGCTCCGTGCCAGCTCGTCCTGGACTCCGTGACAGCGCGGAGCCCTCTGACATGCCCGAGTGATCTGGATGATTTCTCCCTCGGCGACGCTTCCGTGGCGGCCATTGGGAAGACGGCAGCGGTCGTGATACGCGATACCATCTGCTTTCCTTGTGAAACCCGCAGTGCGTCGGACCGGCTCGTCCCACCCGGTCTGTGTCGTGACCACCGGGAGCGCCACAGCCGGGCTCCTCCCAGCTGGCCGTTCGTGACCGGACGGTGTGTCGCGGTCCGTTGCGAGCAGCGAGAGCGCTGGGAATACTCACCCCCATCGCACGAGATCGGCGTCGGTGGTGGTGGTGGTGGTGGAGAACGACAGCGCGGTTTGAAAGTGACAGGATTCGGGTGTTGCAAGCCGGGGAAAACTTCTCGGGATGTTATCTGCAGGAGATGCAGAGAAAACTGGTGTTAAGGAACTTGAATTGCGTAAGAATTAAGTGTCGTTTAGCTATGTCACAACAGAAAGCTGTCGGTTTCTTTGCAGTCAGCTCTGTCTTGCTACGCCTAAGTTTTCATGGCTAAATCGGCATGACTCGGCAAGCGATTAGCCCCGAGGCGCGCACCTAATTGTAGATGACTCCGCCTGCCTATTTAGCACAGCGGCACAGGCATTCCGCAGCGCGTCTGATATGCGCCTGATGAAACCTCAAAACATCCCATCATATTTCCGCTAGTCCACTAGGTCTACGAGGTGGTCTTCTAAGTAGAACTGAACGGCTATGCCGCTGAGACGTGCAATTCACCAGCCATGTCCCGACAGACGTGCTGGTAGGACACCTGGGACCGCGCTGAGGACATCATGCGCTGCATTTGATAACCCACACATGACGGGGCAGACGCTCGAATGCCTGACTGAGCCTATCACGCTGTCACTACAACGAGTGACTGAGCGGCGCCCTGGGGACACGGCGAGGCGTGGCCGGTAGCAAGCCGATCCATAACAGCAGCCGGGTAACACAGGCTGATCAGTGGGGAGAGCCGTCCAGCCCTGCCGTCCCCATTGGCAGTGGGCCGCGACCGGTCAGCTGCGGCAGCGGCCGCCAGTCATGGCTCACATCCGAGCGCTACGGACTCATCTAATTGGTCTTCCATGCTGAGGCTGGGGATTTCAGCCGGCTGGAGCTTGTGTCTGATGTCTTTTTTGGAAAGAGGATGGAGCCTGACGTGACATGCGTGTGATATCATATGCTCGCGCCTCGGAGCGTCTGTCCCCCACGGCTGCGTCCGGTGCCTCGGCCCACGCGGACCGCGCGTGTCTAAATGTAATGTGGCTTGCGTCTAACGTCTTGGCCAATACAGCATGTGCACGATGAGTCCGGTGTCTGACGCAGCCCGTGTGGGCAATGTAGCATGCGTGGATGGCTGCATTGTGCTTTACTACATAGCTATAGGTGCCTAATACCAGGCATAGTGGTAGCCGCGGCATGTGACTTAAGTTATGTCATTATGTGACGCACATTCAGACGCCCGTTGGAAATAAACCCCTCAGTGTGTAACACTGTGCGGCAGCCGATCTTATCCAGTTCGTGCCCCTCCCCCCCGCAGGAGCCGCGGCCACCGCTCTACAACGCCGAGATGTACGCGCTGGGTCTGCGCCGCTGGGGCCGCAAGGGGGGCACGCGTCAGTACATCGAGGGGCGCGAGGGGCCCGAGCGGCACGGACAGCGCGACAGGAAGAGGCGCGACAGCAAGGCGGAGCGGGCGGCCCGGCAGGAGATGGGCATGCGTCAGTTCGCCAACGTCTCCGACCTGCTGAAGAAGCTGCGCCAGGACCTTCGCATGTCGTACCCCAGGTGGGATGACAGGTGGGAGATGTGGCGGTGAGCCGGAATTGCGTGATGTCGGTTTTGTTCCGGTTTTGCATTGCGATCCAGAATAGGGGTGACGCAACTTTAAAAAAACAGTGGGAGTGGCGTGGCGCAATGGTTGTTACTCTGGATTCATTCTGTTGGTTGTCAGTTATGGATGTTGTTTTTCATACAGCCCTTGTCTTGAGAGGGAATTGATACGCAGGGTAGTGTCAATACGTCAGAAGTGAATGGCCGCTGGTAAATTCGTGAGCTTTTCAAACTTGAGATATTCACAAAACGGTGGGATTCTTTTTATACCTAGTCGAACAAGATCAACCAACGACACGGCATATGTGTTTAAACCATTTGGTATCGCCAGCTACAACAATGTAGCTGAATGTATACCGCTAACAATGCAGACAGTTTTTACTGTCGATCCCACTTCTTGTTTTGGAAGCATCGTTGCAAAACATGTCCACTGCCGCTTTCGCCGTTTTCGGTGCAGTGAAAGCAACCCACCTGCATCGCAGGTTTTAAATGCACGTTATGTGCGTATAAAAGTTCGTGACGTATCCGTCCGCCTGCCGCAGCTTCGTCCGGGAGTTTGTGACCGATCCTTACGACGGGGTGACTGGCCTGCTGGACCTGCTGAAGATGATACAGCTGTCGCAGACCGACTACGCAGGTACGTTACGGTCACGGCGCCCGACCGAGCTCTGCCCAGTCGGGGACAGCCCGGCCAGAGCTCGGTCGGGGCGCCAATTGGACCGAGCTCTGGCCAGTCAGGACGCCCGACCGAGCTCTGGCTGGTCGGGACGCCCGACCGAGCTCTGGCCGGTCGGGGCGGCCGCTCGAGACTGATTCGTGCGGCACGTTAGTGCAATTTTCTCGGTTGCAGCTCGACAGTGTGCTACATCATCTCTACCCTCCTCGTCGATGATCATTTGTCGGTAACATGTGATCCACGCCTATGAAATACTGACGGCATTCACCTGATTAAAGCCAACGCAAGCAGCTTTCAGAAGACTGAGCACGTACTACATGAGCGGGAACTGGCCAGCCGACGAAGTCCGAAAGTAACCCTACAAATAACGCCGCCGTTAAGCGTCATTCACGAAGGGCAATTAGCATTACCATTAGCATAACGTGGTTGCAACACGCTCGCTAAGCTATTCAGTCGACAAGTTGTGCAGTGACCCCACAGGTCGCCGAGCAGAAGCAGTTGGGATGCTGTGAGGTCAGCACGGATACGGATACCCCGGATGCAGCCTCTCCCCTCCCATCACGGATACCCCGGATGCAGCCCCTCCTCTCCCACCACGGATACCCCGGATACCGCCCCTTCCTCCTATCACGGATACCCCGGATGCAGCCCCTCCCTCCCATCACGGATACCCGGATGCAGCCCCTCCCTCCCATCACGGATACCCCGGATGCAGCCCCTCCCCTCCCACCACGGATACCCCGGGTGCAGCCTCTCCCTCCCATCACGGATACCCCGGGTGCAGCCCCTCCCCTCCCACCACGGATACCCCGGGTGCAGCCCCTCCCCTCCCATCACGGATACCCCGGATGCAGCCCCTCCCTCCCACCACGGATACCCCGGGTGCAGCCCCTCCCCTCCCACCACGGATACCCCGGGTGCGGGCTGTCAGCACCCATCGCCAGTGGGGTGGCCTAGCCTGCTATGCGGTACTGTGTCCTGCGCTCTGAACCCGAAGCAGTTTCATTGACAATGAAGTCAGATGTCGATATCCGCAGTCCAGACGATGGTTGTCGCGCGGAGAGTGGTAGGCTGAAATTCTCGCCATGTTGTGGACATTGGTTACGGTTTTGTATTGCATCAGAGCCACGGTGTTTGATGGTAAAAAAATATTGATGTGGACACACGGGCTACCTGTGTAGGGATGTTTTCACTAGGCGTTTCTACCAAGACCTGCGTTTGAGGGCGCATATTGGAATCCGCAGCCTGATGTCCGGGATTGACCCCGAACTGCGGCGGAGTGGTTGGCCTATGAAAAATGGAGCTAGGTGCCCAGTGTATCATACGCTATTGAGCTCACCACACACAACAGTGGTAGGTGCGGCTCGGTGTCTGGTGTAGTCAGACTCGGTGAGGACAGCGTGAAAAAGTAAAGCTAATAGTTTGTTAGCCGCGGTAGCTACAATTCGTCACGGGTAGTGTTTTTTGAGCCACCCTTTGTGCCGGGTGGCTCCGGTACGTGGCTAGCCATCCATGATGGGCTCCTTCGTTGCCCGGCGGCGTGACGGTCATTCGTTTGTTTTTGTTTTGTTTTGTTTCTATCCGCGGGCCGGCATTCGTAGACTGGTCCATCCCTGAAGAACCAGATTTGGATGTAAAGCTTCCAAACCACTTGAAAGGTTTGCAGTGACATCCAGTTGCTGCCCACTTCTCCGTCCATCCATTTTGCAGTGAGAGGACTGAGCAGTATAGCATCAGTGGCCAGCTGACCACGCTGTGGAAGAGGTCACATTCGGGAGTAAATTTGATGAACTGGCCTCGGCTCAGCGCCTCCTCTCACCGCCGCGGCGAATCTGCACCCGACGGACCAAATGTCGTGGCCGAGATGCTGTAACGAACAACAACCGTTTCCACGCCACATCCCGCGGCCCAGCTGGTGCCCCCGAACCGCACCGCAGCTGGCCGGCCCGTCACGGCGCCAGCTGTCGGCGGCCGCGGACACTGCGCACGTCTGCGGGCGCCGCCAGGTGGCCGGCCGGCAGCGGAAGCGTGCGTGACTGTACCGTCCGTTAGCTGGTTCGGCGGCCACTGCGCCGCCCGCGCCGAGCAGGTGCCGCCGGCCGTCAGCTGTTGGACGACCTGGGACTACCACGGCGTCGGTGTGAAATGGCCGAGGCGTCGGCCAAGAGCTGCAGCGGGAGGGATGCCTTGGGAGCCGGCGCTTCTTCCGGAGCAGTAGAAAGCCGTGCCGCTCGTTCTGCTAGGCTGTTAGTTCTTGCAAGCTGTGAGCGCACCAGCGCTGGCTGATTGCGAAGCCCACAGCGACCATTCGAAGGCGGTGCCGCAACACGACCTGACGTCTTGTTCAGCTGATCAACCTTCGGAGCGTGACGCCGTCTCATAGCTGGGATTAGCCAAACCTGGGCCTAATGGGGCGGATCCGTTCACGCTATCCCCGCCACAGCCCAGTGCGCCAGTTTCTAAATGACAGCGGCCCATTTAAGCGCAGTGAGGCTGCCCGAAATCGGTCGGCGCAGGCTGCACGCCCGTCGGTCATCTCGCCCCGCCCGCCAGCTGTTTGTCGGCGATGCGCCGTTTTTGTCGCGTCGTCTGCTACGATTCGCGGGATGGGTGGAGGCGGTGTTAGGAGGCTTGTTGGTCGTCCTTTTGGGGTTGCGCAAGTCGAACTGCACACCTTTGTAGTACTCCAGGGTGTCGCTTGTAAGTGCAGTAACTGCTGATGCCTTCGGCGTGCCAAGGCGTTCGGTAACGCGTCTCACGCCTCGCTGAGCGTTATGAATTGTGATTGTGAGCGAGTACAGTTTTGTGATGAATAAAAATCGTGATTAGGATTTAATAGAATACTGGCAAATATCGACCTTCAAGGTGAGAAATCTCCTTATCCGATGTTATGAGGCAAGCAGTGACTATATGAAAGAAACGGGACATTTCAAGCTGTGCCCAAGGTCACGATACGAACGTTACGGTCATCTCCGATCAGAGTACAGCTTGAGATGTCGGGTTATGTCAAGAAAGGCAAACTACTTGCTTTGTAAGCCCGTTTAACCAGCACCCTCCGAGATATTTTGGGTCGATTATTGTCAGAACAAGAAACCCCAACTCGGTCTGCCGAAGGACTAGAAACTGTAGCGTATTTCTTGCTTATAACAAGCCTTATCGAGCCCTTGTGTGGATTTGCGCTTCATTCGTCTTCGTCAGTCTGCTGCCGGTGTCTGCCACTGCTGACGTGGCCACGCGGGGGGCCGCCATGTCTTCTCTGAGGGCCCGTTCAACCGTGACAGGGGAAGACGGTGCCCGTCCCTTACCGCGGCCAAACCCCGGGACCTTCTCGCGGATCTTTTGTGTCTGCGCGGAGGGGGAGAGAGAGAGAGAGAGAGAGAGAAGATAGAGAGAGAGAGAGAGAGAGAGAGAGAGAGAGAGAGAGAGAGAGAGAGAGAGAGAGAGAGAGAGAGAGAGAGAGAGAGAGAGAGAGAGAGAGAGAGAGAGAGAGAGAGAGAGAGAGAGAGAGAGAGAGAGAGAGAGAGAGAGAGAGAGAGAGAGAGAGAGAGAGAGAGAGAGAGAGAGAGAGAGAGAGAGAGAGAGAGAGAGAGAGAGAGAGAGAGAGAGAGAGAGAGAGAGAGAGAGAGAGAGAGAGAGAGAGAGAGAGAGAGAGAGAGAGAGAGAGAGAGAGAGAGAGAGAGAGAGAGAGAGAGAGAGAGAGAGAGGAGAGAGAGAGAGAGAGAGAGAGAGAGAGAGAGAGAGAGAGAGAGATAGAGAGAGAGAGAGAGAGGAGAGAGAGAGAGAGAGAGAGAGAGAGAGAGAGAGAGAGAGAGAGAGAGAGAGATAGAGAGAGAGAGAGAGAGAGAGAGAGAGAGAGAGGAGAGAGAGAGAGAGAGGAGAGAGAGAGAGAGAAGAGAGAGAGAGAGAGAGAGAGAGAGAGAGAGAGAGAGAGAGAGAGAGAGAGAGAGAGAGAGAGAGAGAGAGAGAGAGAGAGGAGAGAGAGAGAGAGAGAGAGAGAGAGAGAGGAGAGAGAGAGAGAGAGAGAGAGAGAGAGAGAGAGAGAGAGAGAGAGAGAGGAGAGAGAGAGAGAGAGAGAGAGAGAAGGAGAGGAGAGAGAGAGAGAGAGAGAGAGAAACCAATCGTTGTCTAGAGTAGGTGGAGTTGGTTGCAGTTCTGGCGTCAAACATGGTCAGTGTTTTTGCGTGGGTATTTTTCGATAACTGGCGCTCCCATCGATCACGATGATCTTGTCGTTATGTTGCACACCAACAAATAGAGGTGTGTGGGCATGTGTAAGGCCTAGATCGCAATGCAGTGAACAACTTCTGAAATGGAAGAACTAAATATTACATGCCCTGTCAGTCGCGGAAGTGATGTTATATGTCATATGTTTGTGGAGCCCTATTTACAAACGCCATATGGTTTACGCATGCCATAGAGTCTCTCACGTACTCCGGGAGCTCTGATCATAGAGTTTCTCCCACATCGCGTAGCTGGCTTGAGCCGCGGCTCTGTATCGAGAGCCAGCCGGTGCGCACCCGAAGATCTCCGCACCCGTAGCTGGTCTCAGCCGAGGCTCTGTATCGAGAGCCGGCCGCCGGCCTCCGCACCCGTAGCTGGCTTGAGCTGAGGCTCTGTATCGAGAGCCGGCCGCCGACCTCCGCACCCGTGGCTGGCTTGAGCTGAGGCTCTGTATCGAGAGCCGGCCGCCGACCTCCGCACCCGTAGCTGGCTTGAGCTGAAGCTCTGTATCGAGAGCCGGCCGCCGATCTCCGCACCCGTAGCTGGCTTGAGCTGAAGCTCTGTATCGAGAGCCGGCCGCCGATCTCCGCACCCTTAGCTGGCCTGAGCTGGGGCTCTGTATCGGGAGCCAGCCGGTGCGGATCCGCCGATCTCTGGGCCCGTAGCTGGCTTGAGCTGGGGCTCTGTACCGGGAGCCGGCCGGTGCGGATCCGCCTATCTCTGGGCACGGAGCGCGCCGTTCCGCCTGGCTCGGAGGCTCGGGGCGGGCCGTGAATGTGCGCTAATGCCGCTCCCCGCCCGGAGGTCAGCAGGTCAGGCCATCATCCGGACAGATGGCCTCACGCTGGCACCATATGGAATATAGCCGGGGCGGGCAGACGGCCCGGCGCGTAAAACTGATGTCGTACCGAGCTACGGCGTTCGGAGATGTGTAGATTCGCTTCAGTGTTTAGAGCAATTGTCGTTGCGAATCGAACCGAGCTTTTCTCGATGTCCATATGCTACGTTTCAGGAAGATACCCTGGTCTGATCCAATATATCGATAAGCAATCCCTTTGAAGTTACACAAAAGTTGTAAGCCGGATGATATCCCTGCAGCTTTCCTACGCTATTCCAAAACTAGAACAGTGTGGGAAAAATTATTGTGTAGCCACACAAAAGAGCTTTGATGATTTGGCTGCAACTTCTCCTGGAAACCGTGACGACTGGGCCGTTAAATGCTGTAATGAGGATGCCTGTGTCATGACATGACGCTGCGTGGTCGGATAGTCTCTGCAAAATAAGCTGTGCACACGCGGCATTCATTGCGGTTATGTTGCGCATTCCAGGAGACACTGCTTTTAAATCATCCCATACCGTAACACGGTAACGGGGGAGTGCGGGGATTCCGTTGAAGATTTCTGACTCGGTAGTTTTGCCGCCTGCTTGTCCGGATAGCTGCGCCTCCCGTTAAGCGATGCTCCGCCACCATGGAAAATGCACCGCGCCTGCGTTGTGCAGTCTAGTTTTACGTTCATTAACGGCGTTTTGCGCCCCGAGAGCTGACCTCTGCGCAGTCACTGCGAAATTAAACTGGTTAATTGTCTACACGATGAGCCTGAGGGTCATAAGGTAGCTCTCACCTTCTATTGCACAAGCTTTTTGGAAGCAGAGGTCAGGTAGACCTAAAAAGGCGCAACACTACACGTCAGCCAGCTGCTCCTCCTCCCTGCCGACCGCGACAGCGCCTAAAACCTCGTGACTCTCAAATGCCTGACTCTGGTCGGCAGCCGCGATGAACGGCACTCTCCGCTCCAAGGAGCACCACAACTTCTTCCGGCGCGCACTGACGGACGAGTACGACTGCCTGCTCTGCCTGAAGCACTGTTTGCGCTGCGAGGAGACGGCCGCCAAGCTGGTCGGCTACTCACATGGCCTCTACACGGTGGCCGTCTGCATCATGAGCAACTTCAGCAAGTCGCGCACGCTGGCGCTGGAGGTTAGTGCTGCTGACATCTGGCGGCAGGGTGGCACATGTGTGAGGAGTTGCGTCCCGCGTGAGGGTGGTCGTGGGGGGGGGGGGGGGGCGGCGGCGGCCGGGACCGGTGGCGCGGTCACGGTTTTGAGGAGGGCTTGGACCCGTTCTTATGGCATCACATGGAATACACCAACCATTGTTGAAATGCGAGGGCGAGGGCACAGACCGGCGGGCGATCTCCAGCTTGACACGCCCTCGGCCTGCCAGAGCCATCTGCCGGAGACTCGGTGCATGAGTCACCTCGCAGCAGCGATTGCCATCCGAACCTCGCCGTGTCCTCTTCCCCACCATCCCAGTCGCCTGCTGCGCCCCCTGTGCAATTAGAAACTCGCCGGCGCCACCTACCTGTGTAACCGCGCTCACTAGCGTCATCTCTGGGTATATCCGCGCGCCCACCAACGCCATCTTTGGGTGACCGCGTCACTCGCGCCGCCAGCTGCTGACCGTGGCATGCGAGACGCGGCCGCGCGGCCACCAGCAGGTGATGGAAGCCGCCTCCACACTGCGACTCCGCTTCGGTGAGCCAGTGCGCTTCAAGTTCCTGGTCGGCATGCTGACCTCGTTCGGCGCGCCCAGGTGAGGCCGGCGAGAGAGGGGGCGGGGGGGGGATCGGAGCGTCGACCGTGGATGGCGTGGCTCGCAGACCCGGTGTATGGGGCCAGGCAGCGTGCTTGGATGTCGTACTGGCCGACGCATGGCCGATACTTGCCAGTGGCTGATGGGGGGGGGGGGGGGGGGGGCGCTGCATGTCGTAGCCAGCTGTGGTGTGCTCTGACGAGCTGTAACGTAGATCTATGGTACTGAAATTTAAAAAAATGCCGCGTAGATATTGCAGTGAAAGTAGGTAGGGCAGTCCTTTACGCAGTTGGCGATTGAAAGGCCAAAGGGATGGGAAACTCATCATTTGAACTGGACGGATCAATCTGGAGGGAGGTTCAAGATGCATGCAGCAAGCTTTGCGTAGCAGGTACTCTGAGCCTATTGAAGCGAACCTATTAAAGTCATCGGGCAAACAATTCGTAATAGTCTCTTGCAAGGAAAAAGCAACTGCTACGAGAAGCAATTTTTTGCTCATATACCCATTTTCCTAAAAAAGAGCTGTTGTAATCGCACGACACATTACTGGCTGCCGAGTGTACGTACTGTGTTAGTGCATGACCTGTGTGTACGGATAATTTGAGGAAAAAAATTGAAATGGGCTAACGAAAGTACATGGAGGTCAAATGGTGTCAAAATTTTGGTACGCACCAACAATTTGTCGCCATAGTTTCGGATATTTCCCGACACCTGTCGCCTGCGCTCGTAGCCGAGCATCCGATTCATCTGATCTCTGCGCATCGACATCCAGCAGTGAAAGACGATGATAAGCTTTCTGTTCAAAAACCCTCCCTGCGTACGTGAATGCGAGACCGACGTCAAATTCTTGAGCCCAAATCGGCTGTGCAGCCGACGCAGATGCTGCCCACGTCGATCGCGCGTATAACTCGAGCACGGTGCTAATCTACTGGATTGTGCACAGTTTCCAGCTTGCGTGCCTTCGCTTCCTGAACCGTCTGACCGAGCTGGCAGCCAGCAAGAAGGAGCGGGTCCACCTGCAGGCCGAGATCGAGGAGGCCGGCTTCGATGTCAGCATCATCAGGAAGGTGCGAACGTGGTGCTCGCTGCCCACGGGTCGGGAGCGGTGGGAGCAGTCAGATGTGGTTTGGAGAGGTTGATGTTTCAAAGCTGCCGGAACGAACACGCTGCAGTTAATTTTGTTCTTGATAGCGGGAGGTGATTGTTGCCACTGCACTCGTCCCACAGTACATTCTCCAGCCGTCCTTAAGACGACTGCCTCATTATGAAGGGGTGGGCTCACAGGGCCGGTGACGTGATGGTGTGTTGGATGATGTTGTTTAGCGGGGCAACGTGCCAGCTGGTTGGGCTGGCAGGCCATGCCGATGGCGTCCTTAGAATCCGCGTTTTGATCGTCCACTCCTGACAAAAGCTCGTACCTAAGGGGCTTATCCGCTCTTGGCGAGCAGCAGTTTGACGGCGCTCGCCTGCAGTCACCCAAAATGCGTGCTTGTTCTCAGTTCCTGTCATCCACCAACGAGAGTGCGGCGCTTCGGGATGAGCTTGACAGATGGCAGCAGCAGTACCTGGACGTGGAGGAGCTGTACGCGCAGCTGCTGGCGGAGCGGGCACACTCTGCCCGGCTCCGTGTCGAGAAGGACGCCCTCCACCAGGAGGTCAAGGTCAGACCCGCAGAGAAGCGGAACAGCCGGTCATCGGACACGCGCTTGAATCGCGTGAAGGGTCTCGTGATCCCGAGGTGGGGGATTTGTCAGGGACTCCCTGAGGATTTCGGATCCACTCACGGGATCCAACCGTGTGCCTGTAGGGCAGATGTGTGGTTATCTGCGCCTTAACAGCTGCACAACAGCTCGTCTCACAGGTGAACTCAATGGCCAAATCACTACCATGCGCACCACGTAACATATATCAGGTTGCCACTTACGTATTATGCATGCAGTAGCGGGATCATGTCGTGTTGGTGGACTTTGCAGAAGCACATCAGCTGCATCCAAACTCTCCGCCACAAGGAGAGCATCCAGAACTCCCGGCTCGAGCAGCTGGAGGCGCAGGTTGGCGCCCCACCAGGCCGCGTCAGCCGTACCAGCCGCACTAGCCGCGCCAGCCGCGAGAGCCTGCCGATTGTCGTGGCAGAGCCACCTGTCGGCGGCCGTGCGTATTCGAGCTTCTCGCCGCCGCCGGCGGGCGGAGCTAGAGAAGAAGCGGATGTCAGTTCCACGGCCTCTGCGATGTCGACACTGTCGTCACTGTCGCTGTCTCTGGCGAGCCACAGCGATGGCAGCGAGCCGACCGTGGCGAAGGATGTCAAGCGGGAGGAGAAGAAGGCAAGCAGCGAGGACGGCAGCAGGGGCGGCCGGGTGAGCGACCATGCAACGAGCAGGGCGTGGCCTCACTGCTTTTATGAAAACTCTACTTGCTGACGCAGTAAACCGTGGTTACTAAATAACTGCATGAGGAATTAGCAGTCTTAGTGCTCGTCTTCTCATCTGCAGTCGTGCATTTTATAACTCTGTCGTCGAAAGCCAAAAACACCTAAGTGTCCGCCGCCAGACAAATTGTTCAGGGGGAGCATTTTTGGGCCTCGGCGCATTAAATATGCTTATGTGCTTAGCAAAAAGGAGTTGGGACATGTTTGTATAATGAATGCAAATTTCCCCCAGTTTTTGCCTTTATATCACAAGATGCACACCTCACACCTCCTCGACCTGCATCGAAAGAAAATGACGCTTAAGCCTTTTTACATTGGGATGGTAAAACTTACAACCGCACTGTCGTCATTTAAGAAAAAATCCCACCCTCCAGGAATTATATGTGCTTACAGTTAGATCTTCCGATGGCAGCGTAGCCTCTGGTGAGCTGCTCAGACACGCGGCGCGTGACGAGGCGCCGGGGGCCGCCCGTCACGCCTGACGCTCACCTCCGCTCGCCGCCAGACTCAGGGCCGCCTCTCGCCGTCCGACTTCGAGAAGGAGAAAGTCTGCGAGGAGACGATCGAAGTGAAGAACGACATGATCCTGTTCGAGCCAGGCGAGCCGCGCGCCGGCGGCTCCCCATATCCCACGGCGCTGGTGAGGCGACACGCGTGGAGATGGGAAGACGGCTAGCCTGCCCTGCTTATCCCGGTGGCTAAATAGTTTGTGGTCACCCGATGGTCCCTGGCCTTGGTGTTTTGTTTAGGCTGCAGAACCACTCGAAAAGCGGCGGGTGGGCGAAAATTCAGTCTGCGTTTCTCTTATCGGCCCGTGCAGTTCGTATTGCCTGCGTTAATTTTGCCTTGCAGTCATCTGCTGCAGATTTGTTGACCGGCATGCCGTTGACGATCTTTACAGGCAGTTTTCGGGGGATATGTTAGAGCTACATCGGCTGATGGGTAGTTGCGGAGCCACATTAAGAATAGAGAAGAGAGCAATGACATCGTGGAGTCATTCTGTGTTAACCACCAGCATGGCATCGACTGCTACCGATGCAGTTCGGGCTCCCATCACCGCTTCGTCCCGTCCTGACGATGCGGCTTCACGGCTAACTGCCGCTTCCTCCTCTGCCCGCAGTCGGACCACTGCCTGTACCAGAACATGCCGACGGCGGCGGCGCCGTGCGGTCGGCGTAGCTGCGCCTCCGACGACATCCGCGAGGCCATGGACCAGCTGACCAGCGTCATCGACAACGCCGAGTCCTCGCTCAGCCTCATCTCGGGTCAGTGGCTCTCAAATCTGGTTGGCGGCCCGCGTGCGAGGTTAGGGGATCGTTGATTCTCAGACGGGGGCAGCGGGGCCAGGTGATCCCGAGCACGTTGTCTGTAGTGTTAGGTTTTATGTTGCTTGTTCATTGTTTCTGCACAAAGTTGAAGCTGGGTCTATGGTCAGTATGGCTCAGATGCTACGAATATCTTAGACGGCACCTCAACGACTGACCTATGAATAAAACGGATGCCTAAGCATCCTTATTGAGCAAGCTTACTAGCAACTGAGCGATGCCCGCGCCACCAAAGCCTGTTTCACACTAGAGGCCAATAGCGGCGGTGCCACCAGTCAGTGGTTTTGCCAGGCGCCGCTAGATGTCACTGCTCCTCCGCAGGCCGCAGCTGCTCGTCTGACGCGTTGGACAGCCTGAGCCCGCCGCCGCGCAAGTCGCGCGGCTCGCGCGAGCGTCACATCGTGCCCAGCCGGCAGCCGAGGCCGCCGGCGCGCGGCTCGACGCGGCGCGCCGCCAGCCCGGAGCGGCTGGTGGCGCGCGGCCGGCCGGACAGCCTGACCGAGACCAGCGACGCCACCAGCCAGGGCAGCCACCGCCGGCCGGCTGACCTGCGGCCTTCCAGGTGCGGCCGCGCGCCGGCTGAGCGGCGGCCGGAGCGATGAAGTGGGATTGTGGTGTCATGATGGAGGTGTGATAGTATATTTGTGCTGACAACAGCTGAGTGCATTCCCTGATGGTTGTCTCTTTAGGCTGATTGGTGGCAGGCACGCGTTCAGCTATGTTGATGACGGGATGTTTAACAGTAGAAGAGCATGGTTGCATGTCATTGACGTCCATGGCAGTGATGAGTACGTGTATGTGTTTGCAATGCATTGTCGCATTGTGAAATTATAGGTCTTTGTTCATAAGCAGAGGCAGCATCACGCACACCGCTGTGGGTATTTGGACGTCCCCCTCAGCCTCTCCCTGAGTACTGGCGCCTCACCCCTCTGAATCCGTGCCCTCCCGCAGCGCCGTGGAGACGGAGAGCACCCGCAGCTTCCACTACGCGCGCGGCGCCGCGCTGCGCCGACGTCAGACGTTCGTGGACGACCTGGGCCCGGAGCCGCGCCGGCCGGCCGTGCAGCGCTCGGGCAGCTTCCACCAGGGCTCAGCGCTGGACGCCGCCCGCCACTGGCGCGGCAGCGTCGACCAGCTGTCGCTGCGGGAGCCGCGCGACGGGCCGCGCGCCGCCGCGCCGCCGCGCGCGCCGCAGCAGCCGCGGCGCACGCGCTCGCGCGACGCGCTCGCAGCCGAGCGGCGGCCGAGCTCGCGCGAGCGCGAGCGCGAGCGCGCTGAACGCTTCCAGCGGACAGCTGAGCAGCGCATGCAGCGCTGGCTGGCCGAGAGGCGACCGGCGGCGGCCGAGCAGCCGCCGACGCGGCCGCAGCGGCGACGCAGGACGGAGCGCGACTCCGGCTCCGGCTCCGGCTCCGGCTCCGGCTCCGGCTCGGGCTCAGGCTCACGCCCCGGCTCCGGTTCGGTCTCTGGTGAGGGCGACGGCGCGGGTGAGGGGCGGGAGGCGTTCGACTACCCGCTGCCCCAGTCACGCGGGTTCGTGGTGCGCGGGCACAAGAACGCGGGCCGCTACTCGGCACCGCTGCGAGACATCCGAACCCCCTCGCCAGACTACAGCAGCAGCAACACCCTCGCCACCGTGGCCAGGATGAACATCTCCAACCGGATCATGGACCTGCCGTCGGCGCTGTACTGAGCACGCGCGCTCCACCTTCGTCGCCGTGGGAACGTCGCGTTGTCAAGTCTGCGATGGATGCGTGCCGAGCTGGAGGAGTCGCGAACGGCTCAAGGGCGATGGCTGCACTGCCGCCTGGTCGTCGGCTCGTGGTGACCTGGTGGAACGCCGAGCCCGCTTCTTGCGACGAAGAGGCAGCGATGGGTGTGGAATGGGTGGGTGGTGGCGGACGGCGGCGTGCGTCAGGCCCCAGCGCGGTAGCCTGTAAGCGATGATGTTCAGCTGTTGCTTGGAAGCTGCTAGCGCTGAGTGAACGGTGAGATTTGTGTGGCTTGCTCAGATGCCGGGCGCGGTTGTAACTGTAAGCGTTGGATTGTTACGTGGTGAGACTCCGTCTGAGGAGCTGTGCTGGAGTTACAGCGCGTGCTTAGTGGGGAGACTCCGTCCAAGGAGCTGTGCTGGAGTTACAGTTCGTGCGTAGTGGTGAGATTCCGTCCAAGGAGCTGTGCTGGAGTTACAGCGCGTGCTTACCCGCAAAGCAAGCTGAGCTTGTTTGAAGACATGATATATGGAGGTGTGTTCTTTTTATGGTTGTTGTAGTCTTTTGTCGCTTCATTCACGGCGAGGAATTGCGGTCTTGCGACTACCCGACCAAGTACCATGAAACCCGGCACACATAATGTGTCTGTACTGGTATTTTGTGCAGCCATGATAAGTACTTTTCTGTTCACCTGAAGCCATTGAATTCGGTTAAAGACAAGGCCAATTTCATACAACCTTAATGAATGGAACCGAATGTGTTTCAAAGCGAACGTTGTAAAAGTAACAAGGATGTGGCTTGGGAGACTTTCTTTTGGTCCATTGCTTTGGCAAGTGACCAAACAGGAAGCTACCCAATCTAAAGAGTTTTCCTGTGCCCTAAAGCTTAACATGCCGTGTGGATTGTGTGGGTGTGCGTTTGCAGTGCATTTAAACAATATGCAGGCTCATTACATTGACGATTGGCATGTCAGTTCTGGGTGACAGGTTAAGGGTATTTATGCGAGATGAGCGAAAGGCAGTTGATTCTGAAACCCTTAAAAATGACGTGTAAGCTGGTCAGCATGTATGCATATGTTCTTGTATCTAATACACGCCATTATGCTCAACTGTTTCATGAACTCGATAGATGTTATCAATCAATGCGCATAATGCATATGATTGCAATACAGAACTCCCCAATCACCATGGACGATTTCGAGACCACCACTTACACCAAATGCTGCAACCGCGCTGCTACTACGGCAGCCCTGTCCCTTGGCCTCGCGTCAGGGAGTATTGAGCGGGTTGCACCGGTTCGGAGCGCCACTGGCGATTATTGTTGGAGTGGAAGCCGTAGAGGGCCTCTCGATCTGGACCTAGGCTCTCGGACCTAGACTTAGGCTCTCTACCTAAACCTAGGCTCTCGACCTACACCTAGGCACTCTACCTAGACCTAGGCTCTCGACCTAGACCGTGCTGGAGGATTGGCGCGCAGGCCGACACAGCGGGCCTCTGACGACCCCCACGGCTAGCACCTAAGGGGATCCTCCACGGCATCAGCTGACGCAGACTTGTGGCCTTTGCCCAGCCTCTCCAAGAGTGGGAAAGCCAGGGGGTCCTTTCTGCAGTAGATTCTTCATATGCATCTTCTCGTGGATCTGTCTCGCTTTATCCTCGTTCTGTGAACTCAGTAAGTGAAGATGTGCCCGCGCGTAGCCTCTGCGCACGTTTTACAAATAGCATCACTGGAATAAAGGCTGGTTTTGGGCTGTCATGACATGACAATTTTAATTGATGTGGTCGGTGAATTTGGAACAGTTTATGTGTTAGGCGCCTGTGGCAAAGTATTGAGAAACACGCTAACACCGGCGGACAATAAGTATATAATTCCGTAATAATAAAACGGTGGACGCTGGCCACGAAAATGGACCTATGCTCCAATGTGGCTTTTAAGACACGGTCTGTCCCGGTTTGGCCACGGAGGGTTGTGTTTGATCCCGCTTTGGAGAGGGTAACGTTGGCTGCTTACCGGCTCGTGGCCGTCGATTTCAGTGTTGAAACTTGAGACACTCTAAGCTTTGCGCACGGTACGTTGGCTGACGCGGCACAGCTAATTTCCTATCTCAGTCAGCTCTGATCGACCAGATTTGACATAAATCCTTTAAAAAAACACCCTGGAACGGGATTGCACCTGGTTCGGGCACAAACATGCGTGGTACCTGACATCGACTCATGAGCATTACTGCAGCCATTGCCCGGTCCAGTCTCCATCAATAACATCAGTCTTTCATGTGTCGTGACATCTGGTCGTAGGGACCTGAACCGCTCTCTCACCCCCATTTTTCAGCCTCTTATAACTTTAAGACTTGCATTTTGTCTCCTATCAATCGAATGAAGGTGAAACAGCGGTGGCATAGGAACGCTTCAGAAATACGACGAGCGGCCAGCCAGCGTGTATCTGAGTGCCTTGAAACTGTCGCTGTACAACTTTGAGAATTTGTGTTCCTCGATGCTGACAGCTATGTGACGTTACTTACCATCAGTGGTTGCAAAGCAACCATGAATCGAAAGTGTGACGTCAGTCAAAGGGGATGGCTGGCCGGGCGGCTGACGTCACATACTTTGTCATTAGCTGATGTTAGGACTTGTTTAGCCTGTGATCTCGTCTGGCTAGGCCAGACGACGCCACATATATCTGTGCAGCCTCTCAACGGAGCCTTGCACTGCATCCGCGGACCTAACGTGGAGTGATTCACTGAATGACACCAACATGTCGCAGCGGCGCTGGCCTATCGTCACCATAATGTCGCAGCGGCGCTGGCATATCATCACCATAATGCCGCAGCAGTGCTGGCATATCGTCACCATAATGTCGCAGCGGTGCTGGCATATCGTCACCATAATGTCGCAGCGGTGCTGGCATATCGTCACCATAATGTCGCAGCGGTGCTGGCATATCGTCACCATAATGTCGCAGCGGTGCTGGCATATCGTCACCATAATGTCGCAGCGGCGCTGGCATATCGTCACCATAATGTCACAGCGGTGCTGGCATATCGTCACCATAATGTCGCAGCGGTGCTGACATATCGTCACCATAATGTCACAGCGGCGCTGGCAAATCGTCACCATAATGTCGCAGCGGTGCTGGTACATCGTCACCATAATGTCGCAGCGGCGCTGGCACATTTTGATATCGGCCGGTTACGTTTAAAAGAATCTAATTTGGGTCAAGTTTGCTTTTGTCCATTCTACGCTTAGTGTCGTGCTGATGATTTTGGCCTGGTGGTTTGGCGAGGAAGATTGAACCCCAAAGGCTGCATGCATGGAGATCAAGAGTGTTACTTCACCAAATCGGTGTGGGGGGGGGGGGAGGGCTCAGCCGAAGAGGTTGACTTAACCAGCTCCCAAACATGATTTCTGCGGGATAATGGCCGTTTGAATTCGCGTCCTCGATACCAAAATATTTTGTTTGATGTTTGGAACATTCAGTTTTGTATTGTGGAGGAATAACTTACCATTCCAAGTAAATGTGAGCTACCTTTTTGTGGAAAGCTTAGAATGGGATGTCATTCACAGAAAAAAAGACATCGAAATAAATATACATAAGAAATCTCCGACAACCGCTGCTATCGCTAATATTGTGCTATAACCACACAGCCGC